ACAGATAGATAGATAGATAGATAGATAGATAGATAGATACAGACAGATATAGAGATATATATAGACAGACAGAGATGGATAGATACAGATAGAGATAGATAGATAGATAGATAGACAGACAGATATAGATAGATAAACAGACAGACAGACAGATGGATAGATACAGACAGATAGATAGATAGATAGATAGATATACAGACAGACAGATATAGATAGATAGATAGATACAGACAGATATAGAGATACAGACAGACAGACAGATATAGAGATACAGATAGATATAGACAGACAGACAGATAGATGGATATAGAGATACAGACAGACAGATAGATATAGATACAGACAGATAGATAGATGGACGGACGGACGGACAGCTAGATAGTTTCAACCAAATTTATTGTGTTATGTTTGTTTTCAGTAAGGTCATGTGTTTCCACCCCTGGTCTGACATCACCCTCCCCCTCATGCAGCCCGCAGAGATCCGCAAAGTGATTGACAAGTGGGCAGATCTGATTGTAGAGCTGGGTGCTGAATACACGTGGGTGCAGGTTAGTACATCTCGTCCTCATTTTTATCTTTGGTGCACCTGTTACTTTGCATTCAAATGCAGAACATTTTTATTTACTTTGCACTAAAATACAGCCTTAGGACATATGACTCATTTTAAAAAACAAGACATTTTTCTCACTGTGACTCTCTCTGGGGGGTGTAGCAACTTAATGAAACATTTGCACCATTTGTTGCCCCAAGAAACTTTCTCTCTAGAAGCCGTGACTTGCATAAGAATGTGTGTTTAAAGGCGTCGGAGGCAGGGACAGCACTCGATTGGGTTCTGTCCCAGTCTTCCTCATCAGCGCTAATTGGATCAATTGGGAGATGTTCTTCAGTCAGGGTGTCTCAGCACTGATCAATGGCAGGCAGGGTGAAGCGCTTCTCTGGCCTCTCTGGACACATTAATGCTCCTGTGGGGGAATAATAGAGCACTTCAAAGGGTTCCAGGGATATGAATGCAGTGAATTAAGATGTTTGTGCCAAAAGATAGTTAACTTTTGAGCGTGAGAGAGTTCCTGAGCCTCAGTGGCTTTTTGACAGACTATAGATTCAGTTTAACGAAGGTATTCTGCTTAAAGGTATCAAATTCTACACACTTTATCATGTTATGTTTTTCTCTGAAGTCCACTTATAATGTTAGTTATATTTCTTGCACCATATTTTAGTTTTATATGACTATTTCCCACAATTTTTGCTACTGTTCCTTAGCATCAATAGATAAATGGCCTCTGTTATGATTGGCTAACCTTCATATATGGATTTTTCTACTGATTTTTTTTGTACAATCTGTGCCATTTTGTCATTTTCAACATCTTACTAGTTGCTTTTTCAGCATATCTCATTGCACCCACTGTCCCACATTCACAATCACAAGAATGGATGTGAATGAAACACAAAATCTAGTGTTTTTGGATAACTGGGTCCAGTTGCATAAATCTAGCTTCTATGTTAAGACTGTGTCTTATCAACAGAACTAATCTGACCAGCTAGCAGTTAGCCAATAGGTAATGAATCTTATTTTTCAGATTCAAATTAGACCAATCAATGTTTTTTTATGTAACTGACTTAAACGAGTTTTGACCAGTCTTAAAGAATAACATTAGGTGACTAACTTGTAAGACTAGTCAATCATTTAATGCAACTGTCCACTGGAGCTTTTTTTTTTTTTTTTTTTTTTTTTTAATTTTTTTTTTTTTTTTTTTTTTTTACATTAATAAAACATTCCTGTAAATGTACCATAATTAGCCAAAGGCTATTTTACATCCGTAGTCCCTGGACAAGATGTTACAAGTTACAAAATACATGCTAGAAAATTGTATAATTACATAGTACAAATCACACAGTATTCTATTTAAAAACAATAGGATCAAATAAAGACATTGCAAACAAGATACAATCAATAATAGGATAGCTAGCAAATATAAAATTCTAGTGTTGACAAATCTGAGTACTAATTAACCAATTCTTCAATTGAACCCTAAATAAAGCATATGTGTATAGATCTCTTAGAGTTGTTGGGAATAGTATTCCATTCTTGTGCAGCTGTGTCAGAAAAAGCAGACTAATTAAAATGACTTAGTCTAAGCAGTATGATACAGTCTCCTCTTAATGCACCTCTTGTAGAACGATAATCAGTTGTTCTAATACTAACTAACTGACCAAGAGGGGGAGAAGATAAACCATAAATAATTTTATACATCAAGCATACATTTGCATACTTAATCATGTTTTCCCAACTTAACAAATTATATATTTTTCAGTATTAGATAATGATGATAATGTACCGATTTCTTATCGAAGACTTTAAGTGTACGTTTGTATACGGACTCTAATGGTTTTAGAGTCACTGAACTCGCCTGAGACCAGGTGGTTAAACAGTAAGTCATGTGAGAAATAACCATAGAATACATATACATCTTAGTTGTCTCTAATGACATATAATCTCTATCTAATAAACATAGAGATTAAACTTAACCTGCTTACAAACCTTTTTAACTTGAGCTTTAAATGTAAGTTTAGAATCAATCAATCAATCAGGATATTTATATTGAGGCACTACCTGCAGC